CTAGGAGTACCTTGTTCTTTTTCTCTTTATTTTCCTTTTTTCTTGCAAATTGACGTCTTGCTTGCTAGTTATTGTTGAATCTTGCTTTCTTTTAGTTTAAAGTTGCCATCTTTAGCTTAATCGAACCCCAAATTGCGAGTAGAGTGTTTAAGATTTTATTTTCTTTTCTTGTGTGAGTCGATCGTTGCTTGAATACGTGCCCGAATAGCCTTCCTTTGAGCGGCATTTGTTTTAGTAAATATTTGGTGGGCATACTCCATCTTTTCGAGCGGGTTCAGACCAAGGGCATTTTAGTAAATATTTGGTGGGCATTTGTTTTAGTAAATATTTGGCGGCATACTCCATCTTTTCGAGCGGGTTCAGACCAAGGGCGACCTGCTCAGCGTCCATGCCCCAACTCATTAGGGGCACCATAGCCGACTCGATCACATGGGGGGCCAATTAGCAGTATTCGGAACATGGGGGTTACCAACAAATTTGAAGCGGACGAAGCATTCGTCCGCGACGCCTTTGAGACGTTCGAACTGCGTCGTCCGAGACGGATCGACCCAAAGATAAGTATCAGACTCGTCTTGGTGGACGTGGGCATCCTTCTCGCTGAAAAAACCGCTCGTCTCGAGCCGTCCGATCGACCCGACCGTTGAGCCTTGCTCATTGGGAACGGTTGAGGTCGCCCGTTTCAAACTATGGCCACCACCGCCCTCACTCTCTTGTTTGCGACTCACGGAGCGAGTATTTTCGAGCCGATCTTCACACAATGTTCGGTCAGTTTTGAGACAACTCACAAGTGATATTCTAACACGCCCTCTCATTTGTTAGTCCTTCAGAAGCCCAAACCCAACTGAGCTTGGGTGCCGGTACGTCATCGCACGGTCACCAATAGAACATGTCTCTGATACCATGTAAGAAATAGGAGGAACACAGAAATGGGTGCGATCCCACTCACATGAAGCGCACCATGACAGGGAAAAGCCCAAATAGGGTTTCGAATGTTAGAATATTACTTGTGAGTCCTTCGTAAGGTGAATCTATTTTTCATGTATAAACGATGTTGGACAACTCACAAGTGATATTCTAACAACCATAAAAAAAAAAAAAGAGTTCAAAGGGCTCATATCGAGAGGAAAAAATTGGAGAAATTTGTTGACGGCAAGACCGACGGTAGCGATGTTTTGTTTACTTGTGTGCATGTTTTGTGTATGTGGACACTGTAGGGTGGTGAGGTGGGGTGGAAATACTTGGTAATTTGTATAATATCCAAATTAACTTTAATGAATGTAAACATGTTGTTTTTTGCTGATCAAATTTAATTTCACGATCGATAGATAAAAGGTATTACACATGCTTAAATGTTTGTTACATTCTTCTATTTACCTTTTTATAGGTCTCTTAAAGTTTTATGCAATATGCAAATGCTCAACAAAAGTAGATGCCCACACCATTCACTTTTCATATTTCTAGTTATGCAATGCTTCTGGACATGTTTATGGGAAAAAAATCCAATGACCTCAACTGTCGAACACTGCTCAAAGTCCACTTTTCTTCTTGTCAATTATCAAACGCTGTCGCTATTATCATCCAATCCAATAGAAATATAGAAGAAGGGAGCGAAAATAAAGACACCAATAATAGAAGACCTAGAACCGAAAAAAGGGAAATGTTCGATCCCGCTACGGAATCATTCCGTTGAGTGTTTTAATCGTTGGATACACATGTAATTAATATACGATAAATGATCTAACGGTTAAAACACTCGACGAGAATAGTTCCGTAATGAGAACATAGTATTTCTTTCTGAAGAACAGTACTTATTTTTCATTCTAGAATGAATTTGACACTGCAAACAATTCTAAAATACGTTTTCCACCATTTCAAGTTTTCAACAACTACTTACTCTGGTCAATAATTTATAATCTGAACGCATAACCAATTCAAAAATGTGCCAATGCAACTATGCAAGTGCGAGTTAACTAGTAAAAGGAAAAAATATAAAAAAATAAAAAATAAAAGAGAAGTATTTTATATAATAAATACAAACTGATACAGTGATAGTGTCACCACTACCAAGTAGCTAGGTCTAATTAATCAATTTAGGCCACCTTATTTTTCAACTGATATTAGGTATGCCACGTGGCAGGTCAGCCACCACACACGTCCGTTTATGCCTATTTTCTCCATATTATTACTAATTTAATTAATTATGTCCATTTGCATATGGAGCTGAGAGAAAGTCATTGTTGACAATTCTCATGGCATAGTGCTAATAATGGACTAGAACAAAATGATTCAATTAAATTCTAGTGCTTCTACTATTAGTGAAGTTTCTAAAAAAAAATATATCAAACGACACAACGCACCTTGGGTCGCTATGGAAACAGCCTCCTTATATAATTACAAGAGTAAGGTCTGCGTACTACTGACCCCAGACCTCAACCTGTTAGAAATATATGGGGTATGTTGATTATTACCTATTTGTGTTGTGCATTGAAAGGCTTGCCCATTTAATCCAAGGGCATGTTTCGGCTAGGGCGTGGCGCCCGATGCAGTTTGGGGGGGACGAGGTTCAAATCCCGCTTCTCATGTTTGCCGATGACCTCCTTTTGTTCCTTGAAGCCGCCGATGATCAAGCGTGTTTAGTTCGCTCGGTACTCTCGGAATTTAGCCTTATGTCCGGTCTTAAGGTTAGCCAGGCCAAGACGAACGTCTTTTTTTCTAAGAATGTGTCTGAAGCCCGTCAACATTCCCTTGCCAGTACCATGGGATTTTCAATTACTCATGACCTTGGGAAGTATCTTGGAGTCCCGGTCCTTCACGGTCGTGTCACCAACCACACCTACGGGGATATCTTAGATAAGGCGGATGGGAGGTTAGCGGGTTGGAAGGCGAATGCGCTTTCTCTTGCGGGTCGTCTTGTTCTTTCGCAGTCGGTGGTTTCCACCTTACCCTTCTACACCATGCAAACGGCATGGCTTCCGAATGCGATATGTGTTGGGCTTGAAAGGCGTTGTCGTGATTTTTTGTGGGGAGACAGTGGTACAAACAGGAAAATTCACTTAGTGTCTTGGGATACGGTGTGTCTGCCCAAAGACCTCGGGGGCCTAGGGATCAAACGACAGCGCGATATGAATACTGCTCTCTTGATGAAGCTTGGTTGGTCCATTTTGTCTAAACCGGGTGCTCTATGGGTTCGACTCTTTTTGGCCAAGTACAAACTCAATCCCGCTTTGATGACGGCGGATTATGTCTTCCCCAAAGGCTCGGCCCTTCTTCGAGCTCTTAGCAAGGTGTGGAAGTTTGTATGCGCTGGTGTTCGGTGGTCAGTTGGTGATGGGACGACGGTCCGTTTTTGGCGTGATATTTGGACGCGCAGCACACGACCTCTTCTTCATGAGGTGCTGAGTCCAGTTCCCGAGGTTCAACTTGACTGGACTGTTAGCCATTATGTCGATGACTCGGGCCACTGGAAGTGGGAGCTTTTCAGCCACCTGGTACCGGCTGGGACCTTGCTGCGAATTGCCGCTACTCCGCCACCTTCTCGGCTAGCTGGCCCTGATGTTCTGTACTTGGGTTTGTCGGAAAATGGGTGTTTCACCACTAAATCGGCGTACTCGTCCATGCAGCTTCCTAGCATGTGTCCTGATCGCATTCTATGGCGGGCCATCTGGAAATGGGAAGGGCCGCAGCGTATTCGCCAATTTCTCTGGCTTCTGGGCCATGGTAAGATTTTAACAAACAATGAACTGTGGCGCAGACACCTAGCTGAGTCGCCGTTGTGCAACCTTTGCGAGCGATGTGATGAAACAATTCTCCACTGTCTGCGTGATTGTACAGGAGCTAAGGGGGTCTGGTTGCGGTTAATTCCTCCGCCTTGTCGGTCGGAATTTTTTCGGCTGCCGTTAAGGGAGTGGCTGCTCCAGAATATTCAAAATGGTTTGGCTATTGGAGTCGTGGGCTGGGAGACCATTTTCGGTGTTACCGTGTGGCATATTTGGAAGGGTCGGAATGAGAAGATCTTCTCTGCAAGAGAATTCATTGTGGCTAATAAAGTCCGGGAAATACGCCTTCTTGCTCATGGCATCAAACGTGTTACACGGGTTGCTGACTGTTTGACAGGCCTTGGTGGCGTTCGTGAATCCCGGCTTATTCGGTGGTTGACTCCTCGCACTGGGTTCGTTAAATTAAATACAGATGGCTCTCTTTTGCCCTCATCTGGCATCGCGTCTGCGGGGGGTTTGATCCGTGATGACGTTGGGCGTTGGCTCGGGGGATTTGTCATGAATATCGGTTATTGTTCCATTACAGGTGCGGAGTTGTGGGGCCTATTTCAAGACCTACTTCTTGCTTGGGATCTGGGGTATCGCAAGATTCTTGTGGAGGTAGACAATCAAAGTGTGGTGTCCATGGCGAATGGTGACTTCACGGAGTCTCTTGGAGTTCATGGCAGCTTGGTTCGGGCCATTCGTGAGTTGCTCAACCGGGCATGGGAGTCTAAAGTGTTTCATTGCTATCGTGAGGCGAATTTCGCGGCTGATTGTTTGGCGTCCGTCGCTCATCAATGGCCGAGTGGTTGTCACCGTTTATCTGATCCCCCTTCGATGGTTACCCCGTGGTTACAGCATGATCTTATTGGAGTTGCTTACCCACGGAGTGTAACTGTCCCAGGATCCTAGGCTTTTGCCTCCTTCTTTTGTACCAAAAAAAAAAAAAAAAATTCTTAAAGACAAAAAAGAAAGAAAATTAGAAAGAAAAAAATAAAAAGTTGAAATCAATATTTCTAATAATAATGGGAATGGAAACTTCATTGAGAGCTCAGAAAAGTCAAAATTGATATTCTACTTGGAAATCACGACAACCCCTAAATTATACTCTCTCTCTCTCTCTCTTTGAAGATTAATCCCAATTTCTCTCTCTACCCAACTCCGTTTAATACGCCGCCGCCGCCACAGCAAATTTAGCGTCCTACTGTAAATCCAAATCATAGTACTTTTTTTTTTGTTAGAATGAAGCGGATCGCCTTCTTGCTGTCGGTGATGGTGGCCCTGGCGGCGGCCCAACCCGGCCCGAACAACAACAGCAGCAGCAACAACAACAACCAGTACCCCTACGCCCGGTTCAGCCCTTCCATGGCCATCATCATCGTCGTCCTGATCGCCGCCCTCTTCTTCATGGGCTTCTTCTCCATCTACATCC